TTAACCTAGCGATGGTGAGTGGTACACGAAAGAAGGAAAACCATGAGAAACGGCCCAGAACCCGAGAAATGGAACCCCTTTGAGCATTGATGCGACTCTCATCGCTGTGCCCTCTTCAACACTACGCTCTCTCACCTATCTAATCACTCGCCACGTATAGACCTAGTGATCAGATGATCGGTGGGCGTGCACTGGCCACCGCGCCAAGATTGAGCCTTAATAGGTCGCCGAGGTCAACTCCTTTCGTGCCAATTGCGCTTCAGTCCGCACCCTTAGGAGGTCCGCGGGTCCCTCAACTAGGTGAATTACTCCTTCTTCGACCTTCATTCTAATCGTGAATTCGTCCTTCAAACTAACTAATGATACCTCGTTTTTGACAAAAAACAAAACCCCTGGGAGTGAAGCAAATAAAAGAAAGAGTGCTTTCAAGAAGAAGGGCAACAAGCTCAAATGATGTCAAGGTGCTGCTGAAAGAATTGCTCGGTGCAAGACGTTCAACAAATAAAGTAATCAATTTGAATAGCGAATAAAATCCATTTTAGATGCATGATGATCGATGCGAGCCCCGATTTACATATAAAATCGTAGGGAATGAACAATGGCTTTTCGTTCAGCCTTTCTTGCCAAAACTCGAACCAAACGAAGAGCCAGTACGATGTTTATTAGCTCCATAGGGCAGGTCTTTCTATACGTTGGTTCAACCATGCTCTATACAGAGCCAAAAAAAAGACATTTTGCCTAGGTCGCACTTCGGCCTTTTTTCTTCGCAGAGATTGCCGTCGTTGACGGAAGTTCCTCAGCAAAATATTCCCTAAATGTCCCTCTATAAGTACACGCAGGCCCTCCTTCACTACCCTCACCGTCTTCAGAATATGACGTCATCTGTCACCGTCGTCGAGCTCAGGGAGGCCTACAGTAACTGCTTCAGCCTGAAGCTCTTACATAATTTCTTGGATCGATTCAACGTGGGATAGTTTCCTAGGGACATTAGCTCTAACTATGCAAACCCCCTCGGAACCCGCCCTTCGGAACCCGTCGTAACGGTACACGATCAGTCGAGAACCCCATTGAGCTCGACCAGAGCACCATGTTTCCGGGGCAAATTTTCTGATGCCGTCCACGTAGATGGCCACTATGAAGATTTTCTTATGAAATGAAATGCGCTCTTCAATTCTAAGTTGGGAGCACACGCTTTGAGCTGAGCAAAGTGTGATTAAATCCATTTGAGTCTGGAGACAAAATTTTTTTATTGCCCCCCCCCCCTGTATATCAAAATAATGCTTAACTCTGTGGGAGTAAAAACGACAGCTTGAAACAACGCCAACCTTTGCGAAGCTCTGAACTTTCGAGGGCGACCTCTTTTGCCGATGTAGAGGTATGCTTTTGAATTTGGTGAAAAGAACATCTGCTTGGTCGATTTTGAGGGAACTTTCCTTGACCAGTTTGTAACGCAAAGTCTGCAGCATGCGGTGAACGGTGTTACGACGAAAAAAGAAGGAGGTGCTTAGGAAAGTGAACAGACAAAAAAACACTTGCCAGATCGAGTCGTTTTCTCTTATTTGTTTTTAGTTCGCTTCCAACGATCAGGAGTTGAATGGTTCTACATATGCCGATCCACTTTCATCGTAAGCTGTATTCTGACAGTGCGATCGATTTCCATTCCCGCGAACAAACCACGGAAAGCGAGCTAGACTTCGGTTCGTGCTTTCGATGTATTGGTCGTGCTATCTCAGTAGCTGTTCCCATCACGTCCAAGCGGATTATTGATGATAGCATTGTATTTATTTTCGTGATGCTGGTCGGCGCCAGTTCCCTGGAGATTCCTGAGTTGTTTCACAAAAAAAGCTGTCGAACAAAGCAGCAAACGCGTTACTGTTTCATGAACAGACTGGGAAGTGATCGTTTCGAAATTCACAAATTTCATGCGACTGGTTTAAAAGTGAACACGAAGGTATCAGTTCCATTGTTCCGTTAGGCCTTCAACTGTAACCTTTGGCGTTTTGAATTGAAAATTACGAGCGATGCCTTCGTGTTACGGTAACTGTGCTTACCCTGTAGTGCAAAGACAGCAGAAAGAGCTGCATAAGGCTGGTGTCAGAGTCCGCGATCCGTCGCAGGTTTCGCTGATTTTCGCGATTTGCGCGATTCACGCGACGGGTCACGGAAATCACAAGTGCCCGATCAATACTGCAAGGTGTTCTCCAATCCTGCCGCCACTTCTGCTTGATAGTGATGGCTGAATGACGACTGCTCATGATTCCACTTGTTTCATATTCAGTGTTTCAAATGTTCAAATGGGGCACTTGCAATTTTTGCGATCGCCGATTCGCGGAATCGCGCGAAACCTGCGAAACCTGCGACGGATCGCGGACTCTGACACCAGCTCAACGCATTCAAGAAACTTTCAGAGAAATTCGTATAACGAAAACGTCCACAAAATCATTAGTGCATACCCACCTCAACGGTGCTCCGACGTGCGTTCCTGCAAGTACAGCCAACAAGAATCGATGGAAATGCTTGAATGTGGGAAGACATTCGTTATCAGTGTCATTCTTTGATGCCGAATACCGTACCTAGATTTGACGGTGAACTTTTGGCACACAATTTATTCTTCAGGATTGTTTAAGAATCAAAAGCTGGCAGACCTGCTTTGGCTGTGATTGCTTATTGATGAAGTCGAGCACCTTTCTAAGTGATCCTTCATACTCTCTGATGCTCGTGTACTCGGACCTTGAAAACAGAGTATCAAACATAGCGGTTTGGAATAAGTGTTAGATCGAGAGGGTAAAATTCAAAAAATTCATGGAATAGTCCTCGTTGAAAGTCAAAATTTCTAAAATCGTCCCTTCAACATCCATTCATAACTTCGCAGACGCTCAGAAGAAATGAAATAAAATCTTGAAATAGGTGAAATTCGACGGATTGGACGAGTTCGCAGCAACGCGTTGGGTGGCACCATGTCACCATGTCAATCCATGCTCCAGTCTAGTATACTTGTGGCAATCCGCGCTGGCAAACATAGCTCGTCAATTCAATAACTAAAGTAGTGGGTGGAACGCTCGAGGGGCGTGGCGATTTTCAAGTGCTGCCATTCAGCATCCGCGCACCTTCGTCCACAAGACTGGAGCATGGGTTGACATAGAGTCACTGAAGGCGTAGCTGTAAACTCTCCAATCCGTCATCTTACAATCAGCCACTAAAAATCACCCGTCAAACAAGGGGGGGCGGGCGTTCGCTTTGTTGTTCTTTTAACTGCTACATCTCGCTTCCGCTTAAGCGAGCCAAGCGCTATGCTACGTCTGAGTGTGGTTCGCATGAACATGTACTTCTCGACGTAGTTTGATGGCTTGCTTAACCAAGTGGCCCAGTTTGGGTAGGAAACAAATTATAGCAGGAACTTGCGTCGCATTACTTATAAGCGGTCAGCTCATCGGGAATCTTTGGCAAAGCTTCAATCCTTTCATGGAGGAGCGAGAACCTTAACGAACAGTGCATTTGGAACATCAAAGTGTGGTAGCCACGTAGCCGCTTATCAAATCTGGATTGGCTTCAACAGGGTGCGGGACTTTTGGCTCGTCCGGGCTGGAACGCGGGAAATCGCTGCGCGCGGATGCGCTTAATGTTGCGAGTTCTGCAATAGAATTCAACATGTCAAAGCGTGTACAAGTTGTGGATGAACTTGGCACGATTCCGCGCTTTGAAGGGTTGAAAAATTTCCGCACGAGGAAATCTTGAATGCAGCTGAGTGAGATGAGAGGAATCTCAGCGGAGAACCTTCATAGAAATGACACTACTATGGTGAAAACGAATAAGAACACTAAAAGTAGGAGTTTTCACTGAGCTAGATTTATTTGATGTCAACTATACATGCTTTGCTGATCACGGTGCCCATGTTCTCAGGTCTCAGGACATCTGTCAACCGTGAGCCTTGGCGGTTCAGCGTTTTGTAGTGATGTCTGGGAGCTCTCACAAGTGCACACTATCACAGCATCTCCTCTTTCTTTTCTTCAAAAGTCCCAATAAGACACAAAGTGTGTGCTTTTCCAGCTACGCTCTCACCCTTTGGTTGACAGAAGCCCTGTAACCACGTTCTCAGGGAACATTCAAAACAGGGCCAATGGTAGGTGCCACTAGAACTAAGCTTATGGGAGGGGAGAAATGCGTGGAAGAACACAAAATTTGTAAGTTGGAAAACTCAGCAGCTTAGTAAAGCATATTTGACCATCGCGAGCCACGTGGTTTATAGCAGGCTGGATAACGGTCGAAGAAATCCTCTGTACTGTGTGAGAGTAGTGACGAGAGTGCATGTACGAGCAGGAGAGCGCGACTGAACAGGCGAAAATCCTCGACGAGTCGTCGACAAATCCTCGACCGATTATACGTTGGTTTATAGTGGTCATGCTCTGATGTTATATAGAGAAAGTTAATTGCTGCTGATCTGATTTTTTTCGGCGAATATTCTGTGGCCTAGGTGGGCTGGAGCCTGGACGACAGGGTGATATTCCAAATTTCCATCCTGATTCTCAGAATTCAATAATTTCCATGGGTATCCCAATATTCGTCATCATTTTATCGTATTATAAATCACTTACGACTTATTGTCACTTACGTCATCACAATGTCGCCAAATCTGTAGAACAAATCACCGACGAACAAGCGGCTGTCATAAGCGTACCACAGAACCAGGCTGTCCGGCGTGTGCCCAGGCGTCCATATAACCTTCAAATAAGCTCAATTGCTGAGGCTGTGTTCACTGTGATAAAGGCGTATTTCACAATTGCGAAAGAATGAGTCCTGTAGAAAATTAGATTGGTGCTCATTAGTTGTACCAACTTCTTGGTGCGAACTTCCAGGTGAGGCACTCATGAGGTAGGTCTTTCAGAAAACGTCCAGCTGGTGCTGTAATTGAGAGGAGCTTGGCGCTGGGAATCGATGCATGATAATACTAGATTCAGTTATGAAGGCAAACTTAACAGCTTGGTGGCGACGCCCCCAAATTGCAGCAATGCAAGCCAAGTCTGTGTTTTTTTCTGAGGTTGCCGTCCGACCTCACCTTGTGAAGTGACTCATAGAGAATGGTGACCTCAAGCTAATCATTTCTCAGCGCTGCTTGCCCTTACGTCGTGCCAACGAACGATCTGTAGCTCTCTGCCCTCTAGCGCTCTCCTTCGGAAAGAAATTTCATGCTAATAAGGAAGATCTTCAGGAAATGCCCAGCTTTCTCGAAAAGGTTTTTCGCACGATGTTGGGATACCTGCATGGAACACAAAACTGTGGTTCAATTTTCCTGAGCGGGCTTCGGAATACTAAAACAGGGGTGATGAAAGTGGTCCGTGGTTTCGACTCCTCGCAGTGACATTTTTTTGCATTTTGTGATGACGCTTCAGAATTCGCGAAAGTTAGCCTCAGCGTAAATGCTTTGTTAGTATTATATTCGCGAATAGGACCATCATCAACCTTTATACGTAGAACTTCGCCTAAAGGGACTGCTGAAGAAAGTCAAGAACGGCAATATTTATGAAATTTTTCTTCGCTCCCCTCTCTTCCACATATCTCAGGTGGGTCGGTCAAAAGGAAAATGAAGCACAATTCTGTGTTCCATCCTCCCTTCCTCTACCACCTCTAAAACAGAGGGGGTCCGCCTGTACTCCCACTAGGTAAGCTTCTCCCTCTTTCATCCTTCAAAACACAGATTTAAATCCAACCACTCCTCAGATATGAAAGTTCTAATGCGCCCTCAAGGTGTGCTCACTACTGTGGACAAAGTCGTGATGTGAAATGTGTGACGCATCAGCGACGTCTCAAATAAGAAGTTGAAGTCGAGCGATCCAGAAACCCCTCCCTGAAAGCAGGAGTGGCGATCAAGTTGGTGCTGATGCCAAAATGATGCAATAGGTGGCGAGCGGCAGGACTGTCACTGAAGGAACAGCGAAATGAGTCATAGAAGACAATGAAGTCATGAATCTCTTCCTTTACTGAGGTCGACCGTTGCACGATGGAGGCATTGCGTCGCTATATCACAAAGTGATAAACATTTATCATCTGTAGGTCTTTTTAGAATTAAGTTTGTGCAAGTCTTATTCTTCAAAGTTGTATAGTAGAGAAAATTCATCTTTGTTTACAGTCTATCCGTTCCCATCCATTACCACTTCTACAGAATTCTCTCGGAGATTTCACAACATAGATATGATAGGCATATAAGCGCGCCGCGGCCACGAAGAAGCTTCAGTCCAACCGTCCGCTCGTCGGATTAGGTGCGCTTTCGTTCTCTTTGGTGCCTTCTTGCTTTCTAGCTGTAATCTCTGTTTCAGTGCAGTGAGTGCTTATATTGGTGCATTGGTGCAGTTCGTGCTTATATTGGTGCTTTGGTGCGATCCGGTGCTATCTGGTGCCTTGTTCTGACAGTTTGAGTGCGATCTGGTGCAGGTAGATTTCTGGTTTCTGTTATTGATTTCTGCTTATCTTTGTAACCCTTTTTCATCTATATTTACTGTATTTGTACTTGTATTATTTTATATCTAGTTGGTTTTGATGTTATTTGTGCTTTTATTGATTAGTAGTTAGTCGTTACTCGTTTAATTACCCAAGTTTGAGGTCTGGCAATAAATCAGTTACCGCGTGGCAAAGTGTTCTATCACATGTTAGCATCGGGTGAGGACGCATGGAGCATGATGTAGCAGAGGTGCAGAGACCTATCAGCTGCGAATAATAGGAATGGAAGCGGTTCAGAGAAAAGATGTTTGTGCGGCACACCTTTGAGTCGCGACTGTACAGCGTCTTCTGCTCAGGGACTTTGCTACCTCAATCACGGAGAACAATCTCTCAGGATCTGAAGGCGGCCTGCCTTCCATAACGTAGTCCAAAAATGGGTACTTTTAAATTGCGACGAACTGCATGAAAAGTACTGGTGACTCTACCGCAACTTCCCAAGAGTGTTAGCATTGCTTGTGACGCATATTTACTGAATAAAAATAGGCAAAAAAAGATGATAAATAAGAAATACGAAAGGATCACCTTCACCACGTTGTGAGCTTCGGTGGAGACTCCTAGCAAAATTGTTTCATCGTCGGCTAGCCATCTGGTCACTTTGTAGGTTTCAACCTATAAGAAATTCTGTAAAAGCGGCAAGACAGAGAAATTCTACCTTCTCAGAGAATATCTTCAATAAGAGGAGATGGTCACCTATGCTGTAAATCCCTAAAGAGCCCTAAAGCCCTAGAGCCCTAAAGCGCTCCGAAGGTAAGAGCCCTAAAGCGGTCCTTCGAAACCTAATCATTTCGGAGAAAGTTCAGATGGAGCTGCTTGTTCGATTCATCAGATAGACGCAAGGTCACTTAAAGGCAGTGATTACGATAGATTCAAGAAGGGTTTATAGGGACTGGTGGTGCTCAGTGGTACGCCAGTAGCGAAAAAAGCGGAGAAATCCGTCAAGAAAACGCAAAACGGGACCCCTTTTTTGGCCGTTGGTTTTCACTCATGAACAGGTAACAGCTCAGAAAGCGGACGTATGAACGAGTTCAGCGCAACGCGTTTGGTGACAGCATGCCAATCCATGCTCCAATCGAGTTGCTCCAGTTGTGCCGCTGCTGGCAACGCAGCTCGTCCAAATCACCAAGTAAACTAGTGGGCGGATCGCTTTTGGGGGCGGAGTGCTTTCGAAGTCCTGCAACAATATTTTACTCTATGAAGTGGTATCGGTTAATGATTGCGCGCATACTGCCTATAGACAGTCCTGAAGGCGCAAAACAAGTTGTTTATCTTGATGGCGTCATCCCTCGTAGAATCTAATTAAGGGCAACTTTGGGCAAAAAAGGGGGTCCTACCTCGCAATTCCTGAACCTGTTTCCCTACGTTTTTTCTCACACTCTAGAAATTTTCACCTCCAAGTCCAATAGCAATCAATTTTTTTAACTTATGCCTTTCAGCTGCCCGAAAGTTCCTCCAACAACACTGTTCTTTGTGTATTTTCTGCAAACGTCTTCCGATTGAATTGTTATGAGCCTTGACTCTAGCAATTGGGCCGCGAGTTAGCCAGTTTTGCTCCTTTGGAGAGGTTCAACCAGCCATATCGGCGGTTCATTTTTTTTGCGACCTCACCCTTCAGGGGGTCTCAATAGAATCTTTCCACCACCACTGACGAATGCACCCCACCATCCCACCGCCCTAATAACCATCAGTGTTTCTATACCACCCGAAACCTGAGACACGTTCAACTCCACCCACTATTTCCCTTGAAAAAAGCTATCGACCGGGGTAAATAGGGATAAAGCATTTGCCGTTGATCAATCCCTTTTTGGGATGCGGCACGCATTCTACTTCCATTTGTACATTCGTAGTGGCGTTTGAATGCGATGTGGCCTATACAATGACTTGCGGGGGCCAGCCGATGTACAAGTCAGTGTTTTTATCCTCCCAGACAAGTCTGACCCCGGAGGGATGGAAGGCTTGGTTGGCCCGGGCGACTCACGACCCAGGATTTGATCCCCGGACCGCTCGCGTGGTAAGCGTGCCACTTGCCACTACACCACTTCCGCCCTAAATAGGGCTAATACGTCTAAAGAAACGGCAACTTCTCTACTTTGCTCACTTCGTGCTTTTTCAAGGTCCACTGGGAGCTACCAAGAATCCTATTAAGAGGACCACTTCTGCCACAGTGACGATCCCTTTAACTTCCGAAATACGACAGACAATGTTTCAAATTTTAACCTTACAACCCAAATTACTACATACTCCTCCGAAAATTGCACATAGGACTCCATGTCTGGGTTGGTGCGAAGGACGGTTGACCCTGAAAAGAATCCGCCCACAATGGATATTATGTGACTGTGCACAAGCTAAATAGACAACTGTGAGGGACAACCTGACTGACAAAGGTGTGCTTATACTTGATTCGTAGGCAGCTAGAGAGCCTTGGGCACCTCTGACACCGCCTTTGGCCCTTGACATGTTAAGTAACATACCGCCCAGTGATAGCTGCTATTCATCAGCTGTGTGTAGTATTTATCCCGTCCAGAGGCGCAAAGATCTTCCACCATGTGCGCCATCCCAAGCCTGCCAGTCGTGGAGAAACGAAAGTTCCCACCCGTCTATAAATGAGATTATCAAAAAATGAGTTAAGCACCGATCCTAGGAAAAATGTTCAACAAGCACTTGCTCCGGATGGTTGTGTGTGTTGACGACGATTATCTTCTTCTCCTTAATGATACTTTGCTGTTTTACGAATGCATAGATATCGCCACAGCCACATCCCGTGTCAATCATCAACACTGGAATTTAAAAATTCGAGATGTCTCGGAAAAAGTACAAGTGACTGATGACAGTCATTGCATTCTATAAGACCGACGATATTTGTTTTTGATCTTCAAGAGTTTTGCCCATAACTCGGCGGACTTCTTGCGATATTGACAAACTCTCTGAATTTGAG